AAGAGGGAGACTTGATCGGAGGCTGCCATATCTGCATCGGATTGCTGCAAGTTGCTACTTTGGTCTTCAGGCATTGACGGGGGATCCGACTTTGCATCAAGGGTGTAGGAAGGCCCTCTTAGTTATGCTAGGACACTTCGTGTAGTGGTGGCTAGGGGTCAGGAGGACTCATGAGAGAGGGGGGTGACTCGTTGATCATCTTTGGAGGCCGGGCCTCACAGGTAAGTGCCGTGCGACTTGGGTTTGCACACGGGTGGTTGCTTGGTACTGCATGGCCTGTTGGGGTTCTATCTGGGCTCTTTTCCACTTCTCTGCAGTCTTGGTTGTGTGTGTGAGCATGTGGATTGCTCCCTCACCTGATGGATGGATGGATGATGTATCTTGCTCTAAATGAATTATCTTTCTACAGTGCATTGTCTTTCACTTCTGAACGGTAGTAGGGGTAAGTCTTTGTTGAAAGTTGTCTTTTCCTGTTCAGCACAGTAGAAATAGTTTGGACCTGACTTGGTACCCCTGTCTCGTTAGGTTTGGTCCACGACCTACTTGGAACCTTGATTGGGACCAGTGGGACCAGGTCCAACGGGACAGGACCTTTGGGCCCAAATCTGTTGCCGCTAGTGCTTCTTCTTTGCTGTGCTGAACTTGGAGGGGGCATACGGACAGCAAGGGCGTTCCTTTCAAGGGGATCTTGACTGGTCCTACTGCATGTGATCACTTACCGCCCCGCGTCTGACTCGGCGACCGTCTGCACCCCTCGAAATCTCCATTGCTGTAGTCAGTTTTCTTCGGCTGATTTATTGCATTGCAGTCCCCTGTCAGGTTAGACAAGAGGGGATCTCCAGCTAACCTGATTGGGCCCGTTCTATGAATCAGTCCTCTTTTATTTTTTTTATTATTCTTCTGCTGCGTGCCATTCTCAGTCCAAATGAATTGCCGCCCCGGCTAGGGGTTCTACCTTCTACTCTGTGAGTTCTTTGTTGTTTCTCTGCCTGATCTATCTATGTCCAGCATCGAGACGCGTGCGCAGAAAGCAGCGAGAGAGAAAAGGGAGAGAGAAGGTTCTCTGTTTGAGAGTGTGAGGAAGGGCAAGAGGAGTGTTCGTCCAAACGGAAGGAGAGAGCAGACCCCTCTTGAGAGATCTACTGACATCCCTTCCTCAAGCATGGCGGAAATCACATCTGCCCAATGGCGGGCCATGCTGGACGCGGCAAGCGAGTTTGAGAAACCGTTCTTTCAGAGACTTTATGATGATGCGGTACTGAGGGAAGGGGAGGCAGAGGCAGCAGCTAAGGCCGCCAGCATTGCTGCGCAAGAGGCCCTCCTGCAGGTTCCAGAAGCTAATGCTGACCGGTTCAAGGAGAAGYTAGCTGCTGCCGTTGCAGCCTTGGTCCGTCTGCGGGAATTGGAAGACTTTGAATCTCGTGTGACAGCACTAGAGCAGCAGACACGAGAGCTGCAGGCTGAGGTACTCAGCCTTAGACAGTCCCAACTGTCTGCCCCCCGCCCTCCTAACCCTCGACTTGCTGCAGTCCCGGTCCCTCAAACTAACACAGCCCTAGTGGCAAGTGCAAGTGGAACTGTGGCAAGCGCAGGAACCGGTGCCAGCTCTTCAAGCGGCAGCGCCGGCAGCTCTGCACTCGTCATAGTCCCAGGTGCAGGCCCTTCAGCCCAGAATGCCCCAGTTCATACTGACATTCCATACAGCAGTCCCATGGTGGACAAGAGGGCGGCCACTTTGCCGTCCAAGTACGATGGGAAGGCGGATATTACATCCTGGATTAGTTCCATGAGATCATACTTCGAGGTCATGCGGACACCGCAGGAGGACCGAAGTATGATCATGGGCACTAATACTGAGCCCGTCGTACGGAATCATATTGAACTACAAGCTGTTGCAGCAGGCTACGAGAGGATAGACCTGACTAGCTGGCTGAAGGTGACCCCTGTACGCACTCTTGAAGATCTCCTCCTTGAACGATATCAGGATAAGCATGCGGCGCTCAAGGCTAGGCTAAAGCTTGAGACTCTCAAGGGCCAAACATGGAGATCTTCCATGCAAGCTTTAGAACAGCACTTGACTGGTCTGTTTACAACACCTGACCTGGGGATGACTGACGTGTCATGCATGGATGTAGTCATGGGAGTGGCCCCTAAGGAATACCTCTCCCTGCTAGCACTCAAGGACCATGCTACYTGGCGAGAGCTCATGAAGGACCTAGTCAACCTAGAAGCCAAGGACCTCGCCAGACGCAAAAAGGCGCCCGCTGCAGGTGGGAAACCACAACGCAAGCGGTTTGGGAGCAGCAACCAGCTTGCACTGCATGATCATCGGGAGGCTGAGGATCAGTCCTACGCGGATGATCTGTCTCTAGATGACGATCTAGAGCCGGACTCCGATACGGGCTGTTCTTCATCAGCCATTGAGTGTGACCGTAACGAAGATGAAAAACTTAATGCATTCAAGAAGACTGCTTCTAAGGGGCCTAACCGCGGTTCGGGTAGGGGAACTGTTGTACACCTCCCCAAGAATGCGAAGATCCCTGAGAAACCGGAGGATGCTTCTACCAAACCTTGGGAAGCCCTCCGCATCAGCCAAAAGGAGTGGGAAA